GTACATTACCTGCCTGCCTCTCTGCCTGCCTGCCCACCTACTTTATCAGCCTACCAACCAATCAACTTGCCTACTGCCCATAAGTCGTGCTTTGTGTGGGGGAGGAAAGGGGGAGGGAGGCGGGGGGGGGGGGGTTGTTGTCGGCCGAGTGTCTTCGTTTGAGAGTGCGCACCTTCACAGTACCTTACTGGTGAGATAGGTGAGCGTTGTATCTTCCATGAGCTGCCTACTGATCCTTGCGGGACCCCACTTGTTACTCTCTCCCATCAATATATTTCGCTCCTTTTGACTATCCCCTCATTCCATTAGCCACTGAACATTTTCACGTTTTTTTATTTTCAGTGGCAAAGAGCTGCCCTGACTGGATTATACATACCGACCTAGGATCAAATCTCGGTTCTATTCCATAGGCATTGTATGATCCCTGAGGGTTCAGCGCTTGTCCAGTATTGTTAAAATTAAAAGTATTTCCTGTTCTTCTAGTGTGTTGATAAGCCTGTAGCAGGACGCCATCTTAGACGATTTCTTGTGGTCCAGGAAGACTCGAAGTCAGTCATTATTTGTTGTATTTACACTATGATTTTTGTCAAACTCCAGTAAGATTTAACAGGACTTTGTCTGGTAATTCCTGTCTTCTGCAGGTGCTACAATACTCTTAAAATCACCTGACTCTTATATAAGAACCTCATTCTTCTTTTCCCAGTTGTGTAGCCGCTGTCTTATAAAGTCACAGTTCCATGGTTGGAACACTTCGCTGACCGTCCTGTGAAGAAGAAACTTCAGCTTTCGTTTTGATCCCTTTGTTATCAGGTCAGCAGCGCTACATGACCCTTAAGGGTTTAGCACTTCGTTATGATTATAATAATAATGTCAACTTGTGAATTAATAATAGTTTGGCAGAGTGAAGCATCATCTAAACTTTTTTATATGAAATGTGGGTAATTCGTGACCTAAATTGTCTGTGACTGAAGACAGTTTCTGTAGTGTCACACAGGGCTTCTGCTTGTTCCCTCACCATCCATGGAGTTGTCTGCTTTTATTACGTTAAACTCCTTTTGTGTTCTTGTGTAGATGTTTTCTACAGGGTGTTTCACTAGTAGGATAATATTATTTCTACAAGTACATGTACAAGGTATACAAACCATAGCTGACATCAGTGACATATTATTATATAGAAAGCCGCTTGTTAGGCACAGCATTTTCAGCAAATTAGGTCAATTTTGTCCCCAGGATGCGACCCACACCAGTCGAGTAACACCCAAGTACCTATTATACTGATAGGTGAGCATTGGACAGCAGGTGTCTTATGGAAACGCGTCCTAATGTTTTCCAGCCGTACAGGGGGAATCGATCCCCGGACCTCAGTGTGTGAGCTGAGTGCGCTAGCGATGGAGCTACTGGACACGGGAGGCCCCGAGTTGGTACTCTCGTAGCTGCAACCATCTTGTTTGTCTAGTGTGTGTGTGTAGTGAAGGATAGCTCGGGGCTTCCTACGAGTGAAACATCCTGTGCTGCCTCCTGGGCTCTTATTACCTTATTTTCCTCTGTGAAGATTTTCCCAGAATCTGCTGATTGCATTCCTCATTTTTACCCTCGGTGTGTTCTCTTGGGTCCACAAAGGTAGTACTGGTGGTCCATAATGGTAGTGCTGTAGGTCCACAAAGGTAGTACTGGTGGTCCATAATGGTAGTGCTGTCGGTACACAAAGGTAGTACTGGTGGTCCATAATGGTAGTGCTGTCGGTACACAAAGGTAGTACTGGTGGTCCATAATGGTAGTGCTGTCGGTACACAAAGGTAGTACTGGTGGTCCTAATGGTAGTGCTGTAGGTCACAAAGGTAGTACTGGTGGTCCATAATGGTAGTGCTGTTGGTCACAAAGGTAGTACTGGTGGGTCCAAATGGTAGTGCTGTAGGTCCACAAAAGTAGTACTAGTGGTCCATAATGGTAGTGCTGTAGGTCCACAAAGGTAGTACTGGTGGTCCATAATGGTAGTGCTGTAGGTCCACAAAGGTATTACTGGTGGTCCATAATGGTAGTCTGAGTCCACAAAGGTAGTACTGGTGGTCCATAATGGTAGTGCTGTAGGTCCACAAAGGTAGTACTGGTGGTCCATAATGGTAGTGCTGTAGGTCACAAAGGGTTAGTACTGGTGGTCCATAATGGTAGTGCTGTAGGTCCACAAAGGTAGTACTGGTGGCCCATAATGGTAGTGCTGTACGGTCCACAAAGGTAGTACTGGTGGTCCATAATGGTAGTGCTTAGGTCACAAAAGGTAGTACTGTGGTCCATAATGGTAGTGCTGTAGGTCCACAAAGGTAGTACTGGTGGTCCATTAATGGTAGTGCTGTAGGTCCACAAAGGTATTTATTTGGTGGTCCATAATGGTAGTGCTGTAGGTCCACAAAGGTAGTACTGGTGGTCCATAATGGTAGTGCTGTTGGTACACAAAGGTAGTACTGGTGGTCCATAATGGTAGTGCTGTAGGTCCACAAAGGTAGTACTGGTGGTCCATAATGGTAGTGCTGTAGGTCCACAAAGGTAGTACTGGTGGTCCATAATGGTAGTGCTGTTGGTACACAAAGGTAGTACTGGTGGTCCATAATGGTAGTGCTGTTGGTACACAAAGGTATTACTGGGGTCCACAAAGGTAGTACTGGGGTCCACAAAGGTACTGGTGGTCCATAATGGTAGTGCTGTAGGTCCACAAAGGTAGTACTGGTGGTCCATAATGGTGGTGCTGTGGGTACACAAGGTAGTACGGGTGTGGTCCATAATGGTAGTGCTGTCGGTACACAAAGGTAGTACTGGTGGTCCATAATGGTAGTGCTGTCGGTCCACTAAGGTAGTACTGGTGGTCCATAATGGTGGTGCTGTCGGTCCACAAAGGTAGTACTGGTGGTCCATAATGGTAGTGCTGTCGGTCCAAAAAGGTAGTACTGGTGGTCCATAATGGTAGTGCTGTTGGTACACAAAGGTATTACTGGGGTCCACAAAGGTAGTACTGGGGTCCACAAAGGTAGTACTGGGGTCCACAAAGGTAGTACTGGGGTCCACAAAGGTAGTAGTGGGGTCCCAAAGGTAGTACTGGGGTACACAAAGGTAGTATGGGGTAACAAAGGTAGTACTAGGGTCCACAAAGGTAGTACTAGGGTCAAAAGGGTAGTACTAGGGTCCACAAAGTTAGTACTGGGGTCCACAAAGGTAGTACTGGGTCCACAAAGGTAGTACTGGGCCCACAAAAGTAGTACTAGGGTCCACAAAGTAGTACTAGGGTCCATAAGGTAGTACTGGGGTCCACAAAGTAGTACTAGGGTCCACAAGGTAGTACTAGGGTCCACAAAGGTAGTACTAGGGTCCACAAAGGTAGTCTAGGGTCCACAAAGGTAGTACTGGGGTACACAAAGGTAGTACTAGGGTCCACAAAGGTAGTACTAGGGTCCACAAATGTAGTACTGGGGTCCACAAAGGTAGTACTAGGGTCCACAAGAGTAGTACTAGGGTCCACAAAGGTAGTACTAGGGTCCACAAAGGTAGTACTAGGGTCCACAAAGGTAGTACTGGGGTACACAAAGGTAGTACTAGGGTCCACAAAGGTAGTACTAGGGTCCACAAAGGTAGTACTGGGATACACAAAGGTAGTGCTGGGGTACACAAAGGTAGTACTAGGGTCCACAAAGGTAGTACTGGGGTCCACAAAGGTAGTACTAGGGTCCACAAAGGTAGTACTAGGGTCCACAAAGGTAGTACTAGGGTCCACAAAGGTAGTACTAGGGTCCACAAAGATAGTACTAGGGTCCACAAAGGTAGTACTGGTGGTCCATAATGGTAGTGCTGTTGGTCCACAAAGGTAGTACTGGTGGTCCATAATGGTAGTGCTGTAGGTCCACAAAGGTAGTATTGGTGGTCCATAATGGTAGTGCTGTAGGTCCACAAAGGTAGTACTGCTGGTCCATAATGGTAGTGCTGTAGGTCCACAAAGGTAGTACTGCTGGTCCATAATGGTAGTGCTGTAGGTCCACAAAGGTAGTACTGCTGGTCCATAATGGTAGTGCTGTAGGTCCACAAGGTAGTACTGGTGGTCCATAATGGTAGTGCTGTAGGCCCACAAAGGTAGTACTGGTGGTCCATAATGGTAGTGCTGTAGGTCCACAAAGGTAGTACTGGTGGTCCATAATGGTAGTGCTGTAGGTCCACAAAGGTAGTACTGGTGGTCCATAATGGTAGTGCTGTAGGTCCACAAAGGTAGTACTGGTGGCCCATAATGGTAGTGCTGTTGGTACACAAAGGTAGTACTGGTGGTCCATAATGGTAGTGCTGTTGGTACACAAAGGTATTACTGGGGTCCACAAAGGTAGTACTGGGGTCCACAAAGGTAGTACTGGTGGTCCATAACGGTAGTGCTGTAGGTCCACAAAGGTAGTACTGGTGGTCCATAATGGTAGTGCTGTTGGACCCACAAAGGTATTACTGGGTCCCAAAGGTAGTACTGGGGTCCACAAAGGTAGTCTGGTGGTCCATAATGGTAGTGCTGTCGGTACACAAAGTAGTACTGGTGGTCCATAATGGTTGCTGTAGGTCGACAAAGGTAGTACTGGTGGTCCATAATGGTGGTGCTGTCGGTACACAAAGGTAGTACTGGTGGTCCATAATGGTAGTGCTGTCGGTCCACAAAGGTAGTACTGGTGGTCCATAAGGGTAGTGCTGTACGGTCACAAAGGTAGTACTGGTGGTCCATAATGGTAGTGCTTTTGGTCACAAAGTATACTGGGGTCAAAGGTAGTCTGGGTCCACAAAGGTGAGTATGGGGCCCAACAAGGTAGTACTGGGGTCCACAAAGGTAGTCTGGGGTCCACAAATGGTAGTAATGGGGTCCACAAGGTAGTACTGGGGTAACAAAGGTAGTACTGGGGTACACAAAGGTAGTCTAGGGTACACAAAGGTAGTACTGGGGTACACAAAGGTAGTCTTACGGGTCCAAAAGGTAGTACTAGGGGTCC